GACCTCAGGTGAGTTCGAAAACCACTTTGTCAATTCAAACCCGGCGGTTTGAAGAACCTGAGACACTTCAGACCTAATAGATTTGAGTTCGATCGAGCGCACGCATTATTTTTCGTTTCGTTGTCGTTTTGCCAATAAATTTATTAATTAGCCACCCAAGTTTCGGTTTTTAATAATTAGAAAAACGCTTCTAATTTTTCATGGCGCCATGAAAAATTAGAAGCGTTTTTCTAATTATTAAAAACCGAAACTTGGGTGGCTAATTAATAAATTTATTGGCAAAACGACGAAAACGAGAAAAAGAATGCGTGCGCTCGAACTCAACTCAATTTTACGAATGATCTATTCTCCACAATCATACTTAAGCCTAGCTTACCGAAGGTTGGCGAAGACGGAGCGAACTCGCAGAGAGCGAACAAAAGCTTTATTGCGCTCCCGCCTTCGCCCTAAACTAACTTACAGTAAACTTCAAATTCAACGATACTTATTCTAACAATTCAAAAATAAAAAAACGAAAAACTGGCTTCAGCCAACAGTCCTAGTTTTTTCGCGTGCACATATATGTGGGTCGCGCATCCTTGAATGTTTCACAGCTTACAAATCCTTGGCACGCACATCAGCATCAGCATCAGCGTCAGGCTCCCATCATCAGCTTAGGCATTGTGTTTGTTCTTAACAAAGGCAAAAGTAATTCATGCAATGCGCCCGAAGAAGAATCAACGCACACATTCTGAATATTTGCCTAGCGAAATAATAAGAAAAACATCGGCGGCATGAAGCGGAATCAACCAGAGAGATGACGGCGATGAATGGTTGATGGCGCTCAAGAAGGACGCAGGACGAAGGGCGAAGGACGCGGCGCTGACAGGCGACAGGCCTGACAGTTATGTCGTGGGCTGTCTTACCCGTTTGCATAGCTGGGCACTGAAATTAATGACATATGCAAAAGGCGGCTTCGAAGTTTCGAAGGCCCTCGAATCGATTTAAACGCATATCAATCAAAGGTTGCCAAATTTGCCAAGGGCAATACCAATATTTACTCGTCATGCATGGAATATTCGAATATCGGCGAATTCATTCAAAAGTAATCATCGAATTCAAGTGGAACAACACGGCGTATGCTTGATATTTCAAATTTGAACTATCCGCGTCATGCTCGCTAAATTTTTAATTAAAAAGCCAGCCACGGCATGCGAGCGTGTTTTTCTTTTATTAAGATTTCATTCGAACACGAACAGGTTGTTGATTTTTTTCGTGGCAACAACTGTTAGATATATTGGTCATGCATTATTGAATCGAGTGCGGTGATTTTATGGAGTCCAATGAAATATTGAATGAAATTTGGTTGCCTTGCTTTCAGGGTGGATTCCCTTCAATTGATTTCGCATGTGGTTCATTAGGTGGGTCCACACAACTCTGATTTCGGGCTCTTAATACCCCCCATTAAATACCCATGGCTTTGTTCCCAAAAACACAAAGAACCTCTCAAATGGAAATCAAATTTCCCGCTTCCTGTCCTGCGTCTGTCATATTAATTAGCCATCCCATTTCGAGTTTCGACTGACAGTCCGGTCGAAACTAAAAACTAATTAAAAAGCCGTGCCATTCGAAAGGCTCGACATCGGGCCATCGAGCTTTCCTGAAATTCGGTGCTAATCGAATTGTTGAAACGCAATGAAACGAATGTCATTGGGGCCCAAATGCGAGGACCCAAGACCACCCGAAAAATCCCCCATCGCAGCCAATTCAATTCATATTCATTCCGGCCATCAAATGACGGCAAATGACAGCGAACAATGAAATCAAATTAAAATACACTTTAACGCCGCGCCGACTGAATGACAATCAAAGGCTAAACAATGGAATGCTACCGAATCGATTCGAAAAACGAGTGGCACGGCCGACTGAAATGATTTTGAATGTTCGCATTTTTATTGCCGAGTGACAGCCGAACGAAAAGTGCCATCAATCCTGACCGAAAATCCCCGTGAAGGCTTCAAGTGTTGCGTGTTGTTGGAGTAATTAAATCCTGACATTTTAAATGTCCATTAAAGTGAGCTTAATTTGCTCATGTGCCAGCTTTATGACTTTCATGAAAAGTGAAAAAAGGGGAAATCCTTTTACGGTGAGTGCAAAATTTATGTGTGAAAAAGGAGCGCCTCTCATGAATTTAAAGCGGTTATAAGAACTGAATCCTTGTGTTTAAGTAAACAAATGCATCTTCTTTGCTTGGGACATTAAAACAACCATATCTGGTGCTTTATTCAATGGGATTTTTTGTACTTAAAACAAACTGCTTTGCAAAAAAAAAAAGGAGGCTTCAAACTCTCTCGAGTTTCATTAGCCATGTTAAGTAAACAAGCACGCCCGCAAACAGAAACTCGCAGCTAGAATTCCAGGATTCAGAATCTGCAGCCTTCGTGCCACTAAGCGGCTTAGTGAAAGTCCTTTTGCCAAACGAAGAAGGGCGGCAAGGAATATCTACATGTGAGAGCATTTTTTTTTTGAGGCAACTCGAGATGAAGAAATTCGCTTTGGTGTTTAAATAACTTTGACGCGCTTTCTGCATACACACACTCAGAAACACACACACACACTAACACACAGTTACGCCTGTGTGACATTTCCGGTCGTAATGGCGCAGACATTGCCAAAGAAAACTTTGATGACGTGAGCTTGAGTTTGACGTGCCGAAAAGAAATTTGACTTCTGGCAAAGGGGCAACTTGGGAATACTTGGGAATATGTGTATATGGCATATTGACGCTTAGCTCGTTACAATTTCGCCCCACTGCCAGAAACTTGCCAGAAAGGCCAAAAAGCGAGTCTTCTTCGCTGGCACCAATTTGCCTCGACTAACTTTTCAAGTTCCGCGATACAATTTGTCTCGCCTTATTTTTCGGGGCCAAATTGCTGCAATTATCATTTGGCAGCGAATCGCAGCGTTAATGAGGAGCAGGGGTCGCAGTCGGGGACGCCATTGAATGCATCGGACCACCGAGGCCAGAACGCCCTCGCATATGGAACGAAATTTAAAGTCACACGCCCACAAATGCATGCTGTGTGCGTGTCTCTGCACTTCCCTTTCCGGTGCGCCATTGCAATGACTTTCGAGCAAACTCTGTAAAGAAAGGGGAAGTCAGAGTGACAGAGGAGAAAGGGAGATTGAATGACATACACTATAAAAAAATATATAAAGGAGTTTTTATAAGAAACATTTAATCGTTTCAAAGCATAGCATTCATTTCTTCAATGATTGACCGAGGCTATATTAAAGACCTACTAGGTTTTATTTTTTAGAAGTAAGTAAAAATCTTGATACTTCGTTTTTCGCGGTGTAACATAAGTCAAGTTCCATCCCGGCTTGCCTCAAAAAGTTGCTGCGGATGAACGGGATCCAGTGGCAGAGCAATGATGATAAAGACGATGATGACTACCGACAATCGCAACACAGCGGCAACAGTAACGACAACTGACAGCAGCCGTTGGCTGCAAGAACCCTCAAGTCCTTTAGCACTTTTTATGTGCAACTATTTTGCATATGTGGAGGGGTTGGCTTTAGGGTTCCGCCAAACGTGGGGTTACGAAAGTCACCGTGGTGAGTACAAAAAGGGAGGCGTTCGCACATCCTAGTGCTTGACGAAAGCTGATATCGACGCCATCCCTTTGAGATCCATTAAGGCGGCAGCCGCTCCATATCCATCTTCTGGCTCGTAAACAGATACGGGGATAGCTATATCTGGGTCCTGGGTGTGTGGCTCCCAGTTGATAAGCCAGTGCAGTGATAAAGAAAAAACAGCTTCTGTTTACGCTCTCGGGTCGTCGAGAATCGCAGCAGATAGCTTTGATATTGAGTTAATGGAAAGCCATTTAAATGAAAATGTTTGTGCTTTAGGGCCGAGCATTTGGCTGAGACAAAGTTGGCCACATTAAAACTTATTAGCAATTTAATGCACGACTAGACAGCGTCCAGTTTTCGTCCCCTTTTAAGGGAATTATTTTAGCGCAGCACGATTTTGTGGCGAATTTCACTGACGCCAGACATTGTAATGGCCAAATGCAGGATGAAATTGGGAGGAGTGACGCAGTGGTCGGGCCATAAAAATGTTGAAAACAACATGCTGGGGTAGCTACAATCGCCACAGGCATGTTGGCTTCAGCGGAAAGTCCTTAAAAACCCCATTAAACAATTGAAAATAAAATTACTTTAGGTTCTTTAATGCTAGCTTTGTTTTAATTTACAATAAACTTATAATCTGCCAAAAAAAGCTCTTAAAGTATCAAAAGCAGACAATATGTGACTAAAACCCTGAAGATTATCGTATCAATTATAAAAACAGAACCAAAATGAAAATAATCAATTCATAACTTATTTAAAAATGCATCAACACAAAATGGATCTCTTATTTTATTTCTTTTGATAAGCTTCAAAAAATATGCTGACCAAATTTTATTTCACTATCGAGAGGTTTTTACTAAAAATAAAATATTTCTAAAATATTTGCACATGATTTGAACCATCATAAATCAGTTATCCATTTAGAAGCACATCAACTAAATCGTTTATCTCGATATGAAACCGCACTCAGAGCCAATTTGTATAAGAAAGTTTATTAGAACTGACTTAACTGCACTTGTCGGGGAGTTTTCCCAAAATTTTCCACCACCATCCACGAACCCGAAATGAACCTCTGGTGTTTTCGTGTTCTCTTGTGCAACAAGCTGGCTGCTGGCTGGTAAAAACATGGGCATCAGTTTCCGTCTGGTTGCCGGCGTCATCTGCTGTCTGCTGACGCCGCTGAATCTCTGAATCTGTCCCCGAATCCATTTTCCTGCATTTTCCCCTCTGCTTTTACCCCTGCTTTTACCCCTTCTTTTACCCTTACCGCCATAAACCTCCATTTACCCAACCCATTACCATTCCGTGGCGGTTTCCCTCCAGGTCGGTCGTCTGCTTCATGTCTGAGCGTCTAATTTAAAATTATGCAACTACCTTTTTTCGCCTGCTTTTCCGCGAATTTCGCTCTCGCTGGCCGAATGCTATAATTTCCCAGCGGCACTCATTGACTCGGCGACTCTGCGGCGTTGCTGTTGGACAGTGTTTTGGGGTCATGCGTTGCAAGGCCCCGAACAACATTCATAAATCATTTGCAGAGGTGGAGGCGAGCAGACTGCTGTTGTTTTTCTACTCATCGTTATCACTGGCAAGCTGCAATCGACAGACCTACAGAAAAAAAAAACAAAAAAAAAAAAAAAAGAGCAGAGAAACCCCTTTTTCGATGCCCCCGGCATCGTTGCACCGAAAACACATTAATCAATTCCGACCGACTGGCGGGCCAGACCTCCATGCATATATCCATTGTGTAGAGTGGATCGTGGAAAAGTCGGAAAACAAGGACAAAATGAAACCGTTACACGCTCAGCGAGCGCAACAACACGAAAAAGCAGACAAAAAAAAAAAAAGGAAAAAACCCTCGTAACTTTCCATAATGTGCAACGCGCGTGAAAATTCGTCCTTAGCTCGGCGTGAAAAATATGCGAGTAAGTCGCAGTGAAACCGAAAAATAAAACGGAAAATCACAGCAAAAAAAATGGCTATGAAAAACAAAAACATGAAGAGAAATTGTTTACGCTGCAAGTATTTATGATTTTCATTGGTCGAAGGCTTCGCCGCATCGCGAGAATTTATTCCGATGTTCGATTTCGACTACTATATATGCGCAGCGATAAATATTTGGCCATAAATTTGGCGTGTAATCGCGCGGCGAGGCGTGTGGAAATTTGTTTGCCCCAGGCATTTGAATATTTAAAATTATCCCGCCCCAAAAAAAGAAACATTGCGTGTGTAAAACTCTGATTGTTAATCACCACGCTCGGAATTCAATTATAATTTTGATGGTTCTAATACAATTAAAGTGGGGCGAATTATTTTCAATTTATGTGCAAATAAGGTGTGAAATTAAAAATAGCAACACTTGCGAACATGTTTTTAATTATAGATAAAAGAGAAGCAATTATTAAATTTGCTTTACTAACTTTAAGGATAAAGCAGATTTAAGCACTTCTTTTTGCTAAACCACAAGACACTTCGTGGCTTACTTTAATAACAAAATCTAAAGCCATATTTCTTTTACACTCTTTCAGACACAACAGTAATGACATTGAAATGGCGCCAGAAATACAAAAGCAGAAAAAGGCCAAAGAAACTGAAACAACGAATAATTGCAACAAACACTGCCCCAGCAATACATAAAACAGCAACAACAAAAGAAACCAGCAGACTGAGAGAAACGAGGTGCAAACTGAGGCGCCACAGCAAATGGCTGCCAAATGAGCGACACAGAAATGTGGCTAAAATGCTGCAAGTGTTGCAGGCGACGACAAATCCAACACAATGTCGTGCAATTAAAGCAACAGGAACAGCAGCAACATCCACAATGACTTCCAGCTGCAGCGGCCTTTGTCACTCGCAATCGCAGCAACAGCAGCAGCAACAGCAGCAGCAGCAGCACAAACAGCAGTTGCAGCAACCGAAACAGCAGCAGCATCAGCAATTGCAGCTGCAGAAACTTCAGCAGCGGCGACATCCACTTCCGGCGACTCTGACGCTGCTCCTCTGCCTGGGAATCAGTTTGGGAATGGCCGCCACTGCAGCAGCTGCCGCTGGAGGAGGCGGAGGAGCTGCCCCCGTTTCCGGATCCGGAACAGCTGGCTCCCCATCCATCGCCAGCTCCGGCTCCTTGGGTCCCGGCAAACCCGCCAATTTGCAACTGGCCTCGGGATTATCCAATGCGGGCTGCTCCCTCGCCGAGTTTAGCTGCTCGAACGGAAAGTGCGTGCCACTCAGCAAGTATTGCAACAACCTAAACGACTGCGGCGACGGCAGCGATGAGCCGCGTTTTTGCACACGTAAGTTAGCCCAGAAGTTATTATTAATCAGAAATATATTTTACACAATATTTGAAAATGATTAAAAGTTTTTACCATTCGGCCATGGTTGCATTAAACCAGAATCAAACTTTATCAAACTAGATAATAAATTGAGTTCTGAAATGCACTGTAAAATTTTTCCAAAATTTAATTTACGCTTTTGCGAAAGTGTTGAACAAGTGGAAAGTTCAGTAATGGAGCATAGTGCCCTTGCAACAATGTGTCGAAGGCAATTATGTAAAGCGGAACATAATGAGAAAGAGTCTGAAATGGCTCGCAAAGAGGATTGTTTGCGCAATTCAACAGCCGATTGACGGGCAAAGAAACGCTAATTAAAAAGTTGGGTACATCAACTACGCAATCAGGGAAATATTTTCAATCGAAAAGTTAACAATAACTATATACGGTCTTTGAGCTGTTCCTTTAGATTATGAAATTCAAAATATATTCAATATATTGCATATATACACGAATCATTTCCTATGATTTTTATTAAATCTAAGAAAACTGATTTTTATACCTAGTAAAATTTGTTGTTACGTATACGCACTGTAAGCCGCATTTTGTTTTTAACACGCTTTACATCCTTCTTCTGCGTAAGCTCCGTAGACACTCCATTAGGATTTCCTTTCTAATTACTTTTGAGCGCCAACCTGTCGCCTTAAGGGATATACCCTCTCAAGCACTGTGAGGCCGGTGATCCGCTGCCAATTCGATTGGTGTGGTCCTCGATGGCTTCCATCCTGAATACTCGTAAGTCCTCGTGGAGAGCAGGTTGCAGGTAGCAGGTAGTAACCTGGAAGCAATCAAGCTTGTCAAACCCCATAACCGTCCGGCAATCATCTCCCTCCGCTGCATCCATTGAATGGCCGCTCTTGTAAACACGGCCTTCATGTGTAAATGTAATTAAGCACTCCCCACTCGCACATGGGGCTCCACACAGATTGGCACCTCCCTTTGCCCTTTCCCTCCGGCAGCCGGCAGCCCATTTCAGTACCCCAGTGGCCCTCCATTGGCCCTCATAATGGCGGCAAAGTGAACTTCTCACTTTTGCCAATTGGCTGCCAGTAAGCCCCGCCACTTTCCCCCATCCCCCATCCCCTCATCCAGAATGTCCTGCTGCCGTTTCTGCTGCTGCCGGGCGCGTCATGTCAAGCGTTGATGAATTTAATTAAGTATTTTTCAATGACATTCAACGAGGCGAGCTTGTGGAGTAGGGGAAATCAGCCTGATGAATAAGAACAGCGGCAACTCGTGGGGTTTTTAATTGAACAACGAGAGTATCGAGGGGAAAACGTTTGCGCTTGTTTTGGGGCCAAGTTGCAAAAGGAAGATAGTTCCACTTAACCACTTGTATTTTAAGTCAGCAGAATCACAGACTCAAAGCGAAGCTTAGTAAGAAATACAAGCTAAAAAATATTTATGACAATCTAATGACTATAAAACAAATATAGGCTTTAAATTGTAAACTCTAATTTAAATCCTATATTTGTTGTAGTTTACTAATAATCATTTTCGAGTATTTTAAAGCTTATGTAAAACATGAATACCCAAGTCAGATTAAGCTCCATCAAAATGGTTTGGTTACCTGGTGCTGATGTTGTTTTGCCCCCGAAAAATCATAATTGAATGGTCACTGCTTATGATTAGCTATTATCGCTCTGCCAATTATAAATTCCCCGCGAGTACCACCCATTGGAAAATTGCTTGCAGGCTTGTCAGGCCGACTCCCCGACTGACAGACTGACAATCGGAGCAATCAAATTGGAAATACGCCTACAGCCGGGACTATTGATTTCCCCCCTGCTGCAATCCCATAATTATCTAGTTGACTATTGATGGTTGAGCGCATATTAAATTTGATTGAATGCACAGAAAGCAATTAGAGCAGCACAACTACCAGCACTTGAGCAATTTATTCGAATTGAATAATTTTATCCAGGGGCCGTCCTCATCGCCTGTCTCTCTCCGATTCGTATGCATTTTTAATAAAACTAATTGAAATGCCCGAAGAGAAGGACAGGATCCTGAGGGGCCCAAAGAAGAAATTGGCAATTTCCATGCAAACTACTTTTGCCATGACTCTCACTTTGTTTTGGGGACATCTACAAAGGACTGGACTTAATTCCATAAATGCAAATCGCACAGGCATAAATCATTCCAGTTTGTGGTCATTCAATTATGAAAAGGAATTCCGAGTTCGAATACTTAATCGAGTGAAGGCTGGCAAAAGGGTTACTCTATGCTTTTTTTTATTCATTCACTAAGCGCAAACAATTCAATTGGAAAATTCTCAGCATATCCCTTTTAAGAAAATCAAAACAGCAAAACAAACAATTTCGGGGATGGCATTTTATTAAAATAATCTAAAGCCAACGCAAACAAAAATATAAGCAACTCATAAATACAGCCACGATGAAGCTGGTATTTAATAATAAAATGAAATAAAAAATTAAATTTCTCAGTTTCGAGCTTAATAAACTTTGCATAAACATGCAATCATTTTTCCTTTATTGCTTTCTTTATATAAATTTTTAATAAAAGTGATTCGAAGCAGCATAATAAACAAGAAATATTTCACAATTTTTGACACACAAAAACCACTGGCTATCATTAAATAAAAAGTGGGTTAGTCTCTTATGTTTCTTGGGTCACAAAGCATTTAAAATTTAAGGTACATGATAGAGCAACCATTTAACCAATAACAGAAATGAGTAAAAATAAATTTAATATCCAATTCATTCATAAAGCAAGGATAAAGATACGTTACCACTCATTTGAAGTTCGAACTTAATACCAATCTAAGCCAAAGCCAACGCAGTAAATAAAATGTATGTAACCTAATCTTAAAGATAAATTTGAATAATTTAACCACAAATTGGCTGGCACACATTTTCCCCTTCTCTTTCAAATGCGAATACATTAAAAGTAAAGTACCTTAAATTATTCACGTAAATGGATTAGTTTACTTTGCGTTCCAATCAGTTTGCATATGAAGTTAATGTTATGTTAATTTGATACTTTGTGTTAGCATCTGCCTTGGCCTGGCGATGATTTATGGCGTGACGATTGCCATTCTCCTGGGCGAAAGGCGCTTCCCCCCTTGCGTTTCGGGAGGGAATATCAGTTGCGGTTGCCTGGCTGCGCGCGCGGCAAACAAACTAATTGCCGAACTAACGCTAATTGCGTTTAATATATATATATATTTGCAGGCTGTAATCGCACCTACTACGGGGACATCGGACAGACCTACGCCCTCGAGTTGCACCGCCCCAAACAGGATCGCGTGCCCTTTGTGTGTGTGCTCACGTTCACGGCGGCGGGTGGCCAACACGGCGATGTGGTGCAGGTGAGTCGGGTCAGGGTTCAAATCGGGGTACAGAAAGAGAAAAATAATATACATTGGATGACTTTTTATATTACTTATTATGAAACCTTAACCTCAATAACAACAAAATAAATCTTGTATCATTAGATAGCAGTTAAATATTACTTCAAATATCTAATTAAATATTCTAAGCGCTCTTTTTTTTAATTGGGTTTTTATTTTATATAACTCCGGCCTGGAGTTCTTTTATTTTCCTTATATTTATTTTCTCCCTGTGCACCTTCAACTGCAGAGGTTCCCCTCCTCCTTTTCCTTCTGCTTCTGTCGGTGCCACTGCCTTTCACATTTCATTTTGTAACGGGATAAACTACGCCATTAAAAGATAAGCAACAACAATGGCGTTGGCAGATGGCGGGTGTTGGGTGGTGGGGGGGGTGGTGATGGAAAATTGGGTGGTGGCCTGTGGGTGGCAGAAGCAATATTGATTTCAAAGCCACTCGCCGGAGCGTAGCAAATCCAGCACCACCACCACCCATTTCGGGGTAGCAGGAAGCGAGTGCCGGCGCCTGTTAGTTATTACGCCACTTCACACCTCCAATTGGAATGAAGGATGCAGAGGAGCAGCTGCAGGAGCCGGAGGAGCCGGAGCAAAAAGAAGAAGTGCCAGGCAGCCAGCCAGCCAGCCAGCCAAAGCCTTTGGCATGCTCGAGTGCGTCCCAAGAGCATTCGGCACTGATATCCACTGAGCTACGAGCACTGACCGAAACTTTATTACTGACACCCCCTTCGGCACATCCTGCAAATATTTTATGCCCAGCAGAGAGACTCTACTAGATTCGAGGAGATTTATGCAATTGATGGAAGAGGGGGCACATCCCTTCCCCAGACAGTTGAGCTAACAATAAATGGTTATGTAATTGAAAAAACAACAGGGAATGTGTTCTACACCCCTTCTTTAAATTACTAACTTTACTCTCAACTGTGACTAGTCAAGTTACCCTATCTTTAAAATCTTTAAAAAGAAGGTTTTAGGCTCCTCAAATATTGTTAACAACTTAAGTTTTTTACGATTATTATACTAATTTAGCTGAAAGACAACTTTCTCATCAAGTTACTATAGTTACGCAAATCAGAATATGCTTTTATGGATGTAGCTATAACACTATAACACAAATTTATGATCCGCATCGCTCTAGGTCACCTTGGATAGCTTCACGATTGGCAGATTCACCTCGTACGTTCACGAGGGCTGTCCAGATGGATACATGCAGATTGCGGAGTCGGCTCGAACGCCAATTGGAGGCATGTGGTGCGGCACCTCCTGGGGCCCAGTGCTCTTCTACAGCGAGACGCGCTCCCTCATATTCACCATCCGACTGAACAGGTGCGTTCTGATTTCAACAACATATTAACCGACCCTTATTTATGTGTAAATACCGCCCACAGACTGGCGAGAGATCAGAACGGTTACAACTTCGACTTCCGCATCAGATACAAGGTCCTCTCGAGGGACAGTTCGGTAACCCGCTACGGGGGCATTAAGCTGGCAGGTGCGTGTGACCGCAGGACTTGAGGTCCAGTCCAGTCCCTAATCCGCTCAACCGATTCCCCTTTTTGTTTTGCAGAACTGGCCCAGTGGCACAACCGCAGCAGCTTCCTCAACCAGCAGCAACAACAGCAGCAGCAGCAGCAACAAGGCGCCGGCTTCCTGGAGGACTTCACCAACTCCAGTGGCGCTCGTTCTGACCGTTATGGCCAGGACTTCAGTCTTTTCAGCGCTTATGCCAACAACAAGACCTTCATGGCCTCGCTGGAAAAGTCACTGGCCAAGGACGAGCAAAACTACACGGAGCCGAAATACTATTTGGGTGAGTTATTTTTTATTAACGCTATAAATAAATCCTCACTTGTGTGACTGGTTTATAATTTACCACCACGGCGTAAAGATTTTACTGACAATATATATTAACTACACACTAATGTAGTAAATTTATTTAAAGAACATTACGTGAAACCCGTTTGTAAAGTTCCTCAAATAAGGATAATTTAAAATGAAAGAACTTCTTAAAAATACACAAAAATTAAAACTTTTAATTTGGCAGTCTAAGACCGTGTTTAATGACTCGTTAAGTGTTATTCCTGGCTGTGACATCTGTTTCTCGCATTCGCAGGTGACCTTATACCCGGAACGTACTGCTCGAGGATCTTCAGCGACTGCGACAAAAAGCCGTGTCGCCTGCAGTCGCCCAACTTTCCCGGCATCTATCCCCGCAATCTCACCTGCTACTATGCAGTGCGCCAGGTGAGCTGAGAACAATTAAAATGAAATTAAACTCCAGCCTGGTAGCCTAATGTTCTGGGCTGCAGGCCGTGCCGGGCCAAAAAGGTTGCCTTACCAACGCAGAATTTTGAGGGCATCCTGGCTCGTAGGTCATAAAAATAAGGCCAAAGCGTAAAACGCTCTGCCTTATTTTTATTCATGCCACAACAAAGTTCAAAAATCAAGAGAAGAAAAAAAAATTAAATGGCAATTTACATTCCAAAATAGAATGGGCTTTTATTATAATTAACTGAAGGAGCAGAGAGTCTGCCGTCTGAAGGGCTCCTCCTTGGCATTTTTAATATGTCTGCTCCTGCCCGACGGGGATGCTCTTGGCAGGACTCGTTGCCATTGGCAATCAACTGTTAAAGGTCTCACATGCTGTGGATGTCCTTTTAAAATTACAAATTGTTTACTGGCTACACAGTTTGTTTAAGGCATAATGTGCCTATTTCTGGAAGTCACGTAATTGTAAGTCATGAGCAACGCAGGATTATTCAGAGATACTTGAGTTTATAAGGTTCCGTAAAAGAACCACAAAATAAGTCCCTTTTTTAACGTAATTTTGGCTTTTTTAATAGAGTGCTTTTATGTAAGAGTATTTGCCTCAACACAAAGAAATAAATTAACGCTTTCTAATACTTTATTTATATAAATATTTATTTCTTCAAGGATATATATTTTTAAGCCCAATTGAAAATCAAATTAGAATTTTGTTTGCGTAAAAGCTCGCATAAATTAGACGTGCCACTTGAATAGGAATGAACACAATGTAAAACACAAAGATCAATCACCATTACCATTTGCAAGACCGTCCAGAGAATTCCGCGAAGCGTAGCCGGCGTAATTTAAATGCTCCAATTAATCCTCCTATTCCAACAAAAGGAATGGCACTGTCAAACAAAACATTCTGTGCGCTGCGGCTCATTAATTTGCATTTAATTCTCCTGTCCACACAGCACGACGTGCCCCATGGCAAACACGCCCTGATTCTAGTCAAACAGCCCAAGGGCAATCTGGTCTGGATTTCCACCCAGGAAACGGCCACCGTGAACAAAATGGCACCGCCGCCGAGTGCCAGCGACAAGGACAAGAAATTCGAGCCGAGGCTGAAAACATGGAATGACTGCGATTACATTCAGGTAATTAAATCTGCCTTTAAATGCACTTTGCTCCGCCTCTGCTTCTATCTCTTCCCTATCTTCTCTGTATCTGTATCTGTATCTGTATCTGAATCTGGACATCTCGCCTTTATCTGTATCTGTATCTGTATCTGTAAATGTCCCTGCAATGAACTGCTCTGTGTTTGCATTTGCCAACTTTAACGAGGGATTCAGCATAAAAATTACTTCCTCTGTTGGCCAGTGGCCGGCAAACAGGACCAGTAGGAAAATTCGGGATGGAAAACGGAGTGGAGGCTGCTGGGGTGGCTGGTGGGGTGGCGAAAACTGCGCAAAAAACGACAAATTGAAAAAGAAATGAGCAAAAATCTGGAATCAGTTGTTTGCACTCCCCGTATTCTCCTCCACCTCCCCCCGTTTTTTCCCACCGATTTTCCACTGTCATTGCCCCGGCATTGTGTGTACGCCTCCATATCCGATGTCCATGTCCTCGTCCGAGTTCCAGGACGAAGTCCTCCGTCCGACATTGCCTTGAGCACTCGATAGGCTTCTCCGGCCAGTCGCGGGAAGTGTTAATTTCGTAGCCTTTCATTTTGTTTGCCATCGGGGAGCGGGACTCGTACTGGACTCCCACTATAGAGCCCCCAACGAAAAAGGGGCAACTTTTGGATGAGCTCTTAATGAGCGTTGTGTATGCAGAATGGAGCTTAAATGGGGGATAAGCCGGCAAAACGGAAAATATGAGGCATACGAAGTGTGGAAATAAGCCGAAGAAAAGGGATACGCTTGAAAGGAACTGCTTCGAGAAGGAGGTTTTAATGAGGCCACCTTAATTATATTAGGGGAAAACAGAATCTGGAGAGGGCAGATTTTTAAATGAGAAACCATTTGTGCCAGAAAGCTGTCAAATAAAAAAGGATTATTTTCTTTTTCTGGATTATCTCTGTTCTGCATTCCATAGAAAATTTGTACTCTGAAACCCCACTTGTTTCTTAGAACAGCAGCAAGTAAAAAATTCAAGAAGAGTTTAAAATAAAGAAAGAAAGAAAGAGATTCAAAGAGTTTTTTATTTACCTTAGTGGTATGTTCTGCAGAGCCAATACAATTTCTCTTTTAAATACCACCTAATTTCTTAAACTGCACCAAATTAGAAATTAACCTGAGAATACTTGAGCATATATAAATGTGTATGTATATTTTCTTCAATAGGAAAATGTAAAGCCCAAATGGAAATCCACGGTAATACAAAACTAAAGAACCCTCCTCGCTCAGTTCAATTCAACTCAATGCGATTCAAATCAAACTCATGTTGCCACAAATCAATTTAGTCGTAGTAATAGTGAGCACTTGACCTCCGACACCCAACCACCCACCACACCCTATCTTTCACTCTCTACGTATCTCCCCGCCACTAATAGCAACAATTATTTGCCATCTTTCGCTGTTCGAAAACAATTAATCAAGCTAAATGTATGCACTCCCCTTCCAAGTAAGCCCCAGCAAACAAACAACAAATCAAAATGATCTGGGTAAATCGACATCTATGGAATATCTATAGACTGGATAATATATTCATTAGCACACACGCGAGGGGAAGAATCTGTCATTGGGTTTATATTAATGAACACTTGGCACGCACATCATAAATCGCACACAAAGCAGCTTCGAGGTCTGAGGACATCAAGGACATTAGTGGACGAGGACGTGGACGTGGACGTGGACGAACGTGCCTGGATGCCATGTAAATAATTGCCCCGGGCATTCATCATACAAAAGGCAGAAGAGCGGAGGATGCCACTCCTGATGGATTCCCCACTTCCGGGCTCCATTCAGACCGCTTTAAGCTGATCTGCCACAGCGGTCAAAGACATTCCACCCCATCCATATATATATATGCTATATATATAGATAGAAATCCGAAAAGGGAGGGTGAGAAATCTACCCTAAAACGTTTTGACGATTTCCGTGTCGAGGAATGTTGCTTTTAGTTGCCCATTTAGTCATCAGCAACTATTCAATTTCGCTCCGCAACAAAATCCCTCTGACAGCGGAGGATGACCCCTGTGCCCCGGTGCTTTCAGTTCCCAGTAATTCCCCCATTAAATGCTCGTTGTGGCAGCAAGGCGTGCAAATCCCTTCCTCCTTCCTCGGGACCCTTCTCCTAAGCCCCGAGAAGCGTTGTCCTGGCTGGCTGGCTAACCCCTTTACTTTTTGCTTATTCAGTTGGAAGGCAATCCGCTCGGACGTTAGCGCCATTTGCAAGGATTGCAGGATCCTGGGCCTCTGCACTCTGCCTACAAATTGTCCTCCGCTTGCCATTTCCCACCGACTTTTTTCCCACTTTTTTGTCTCGCGCTCTTAAGCCAAAATGTCCAAAAGTGCTGGCCATTTTGGTGCGGCATGTGTGAATAATCGCCGGATGGCAAGAGCCGCGCAGCCAGAGTTCCACGAATAGAATGGTAAACTCTGGGCGGGTACAAAAGAACACATTCAAAAAAGTTCATTTAAATTCATCTAAATAAACTATCAATTTAGGATTTTAATATACATTTTTATTACGTGCTTATGCAAATATACGCTCAAAAAATACTGCTATAGAACTATTTTGAGGTATAACAACAATGAAATTAAATGGAAGAGATCGAATGATTTTAAGTCTATGAACTATTATTGTGTTAGTGCTAATCTTTTTAAAAACACCACAAAATATATTTATTGTTTAAGTTAGGTATCTTTCTTTTTCTGGAACCCCATCAGTTGATATATTCAACAAAATAGGTAACTGGGGAAAAAGAAAATCCCCCATATATATTCTGGTGTATCCCCCATCTGGGTCTCCACTAATTTGTACAAATGCCGCGCTTTCAATAAATTTGTGGTCACAAATTACCTGGACCACATTTACGGGTGTGCGGGCTGTGGCTCCGGTCCGGAATCTGGTCTGCGGTCTCGGGCATAGTTTAAATTTGCGGCCAGATGCACAAACAAGGACGGCCAGGAAACAGAAACCTCAGCTAAATTAATGCAAAAAGTCGCTGGCCACAAAACTAATTTGTCATGCGTTGGCCAAAGGTAGGAAGTGGCCATGGACAGGGAACGCCGGTCCGAATGCCATGTACGCCCACTTCCACTTCCCACCCACTTACTCACCCACCTGGCAAGGCCAACTCAATTAAAATGCGCACAATTATGCGCAAATGAAAAAGCCAGCAGAAACCGCACATAAATGAACATGTAACGTTTATGGGAGCTGAAAACTTGGGTATTCCAATCAAACCTTTGAAGTATCAAAAAATATATTACCAGTTACAAAACGCATAAACTTAAAAATTAGTTACTCAAAACCTTTTTGTTAACCAAAATGTTACCCAAAAAAATGGCCACTGCTTTTAGACATCTCCAGGGACTCAATTTAAGCAAAAAGCCTTTACCACAACCAAGTGCTCCTCTCGTAACCCGCATAAACATGTTTCTTTCATTTAAAACAAACTTTAAATGGGCTTAAAATGTTCGACATTTAGTGGGCATCAAGTGTCGGACACATCAAAGCCATTGTGCTCAACTACTTAGACCTGCTCAAAGCCCCCAAGACTCTTCCTCCCCCTTCCGCTCCTTCACCCTTAACTAAACATACCGCAGCATTACTTTCCATCGTCCTGGGAAGCGGAATGTGACCAAAAATCACGTATACGTACAGTGGCCATTAAGTAATACGAGAGCCAGCTGCACTTTGGGTCCACTTCTTTACAGCAATTACCGTTCTTTCGCACTCAGTTCGACTCAGCCACGCCCCCGCATACCGCCCCTTTTTGGGCCACACTCGGCCTTAAGCTTCAATTACTACACTTAGAGAAAGTTAATTAAACATTAAATACTTTGACTAAACAATTATAAAAAAAACTAACATTATAATTTTAGCTCATATTGATAAATATTTAGAAAAGTATTTTTGAGATAAATATAATATATATTAGGGATATATACTACATTCGTTTGGGGATACTATACATTTCTTAACGATAAAAAGTAAAATTGACCCTTGTCTTACAAATTAATTTGCACCATATATGTTTTGATATTTAAAATATTAATAAGCCTCAGATATAATTTAATTTTATAGAACCAATCAAAGACTTTCTGGTAAACTAAGCTGTTATTCCTTCACCGTGTAGTTAGTTAGTGCCACCCACATGGTGAAATCAACAAGCACCAACCACATTTGTCGCCCGACTCACTCATTTCGTTTCACTCTCTCCTCACCCGCTCTTCTCTCCTTTCTCTCTCGCCCTCTTCTCCCCGTCTCGGTGTCCTTTCGCACCCGCAGGACTACGTGACCGTGTACGACGGCTACACCACACGTGACCCCATCATACTGAAGTTCTGTGGCGGCGGTCAAGCGGTGCCGGCGGCTGTTTCCAGCGGCCCGGAGCTTCTGGTCGAGTTCAGCACGTCGCCGTTTGGCACCTTCACCGGCACCTCGTCGCAGGTCCTGCCGCTCTACGGATTCCAGCTGGAGGTGAGTGGAGAAGACCAGATGCAGGCCTCCGGCGGTATAATTCCTTTTGATTTTGTTTGCCTTGCCACAGGTTGAAGTTCAATTCGTGGACATCCAGAGTCCCACGTACTCGAAGAACAAGAAACCCTGCGAGTTTTGGATCCGCGGAGCAGGACGTGGCATCCTGGAGAGTCCCAGGCACTCGCTGGCTCCGAACTCGACGTGCCTTTACCATCTGCAGGGACTGGGTGTCTTCAAGACCTTTGACCACCTGAGTCTGTCGCGCAGGACGAACAGCCAGTCGGGAATGCATCAGCCACTTTCCCGTTTCAAGGTTTGGATTTCCGTTCTGAAGTTCAACTTGGATCCGGAGTTCGGCCAAATAGATGAGACGTCGGTGGGGGCGATTGGAGTGCTGCAAACGCAGGAGGATTGCAGCGGAATGTTGCGCATATGGGATGGCACTCTAAGGGATGCGCCCGTTTGCAAGGATCTTAACTGGTAAATGCTTTTACTCAAATGGGAAACACTTTAATAATATAATTGTAATATTTTTTAGTGCCAGCGAGACGAGTAGCTATAATACTTTGGGTCACTATGCTCAGAACTCCACCAATGTGATTGCCAGATTTTGCAGGGGAACAATACCACGCACCTGCGATAGGTCCAATATAAATGAGACCTACGCAAGACCCTGTACGATTTCAGAGAGTTATGTATCCAGCACAGATGCCATAACACTCGAGCTGCGCAACACCGAATCCACTGTGCTAAGGTGAGTTCACCTCATAGAAATATATATAACAAATACCTAATAAACCAATATTTTAGACCCCTGGATTTCAAGCTGAAGTACGAATTTATTGACCTCCACCAAGATGGTTTGCCTTGGGGAGGCGGCGAACACGATTGCAATCGAAAGTTTCTCAGTAGCATGATGGATCGCAAGGATCCAGCGATTTTCCGCAGTGTGCGAAACATCTTTCTTTTTGGAAGAGGAGGCACCAGGAACCTGAAGTGCATCTACAAATTTGAGGCTCAGCGAGGAGAGAGGGTCAGGATCAAGATGAGAAAAGTGACAACTACTAATAGGCCCTGCTATTCCCGTGTGGATGAGGATATTAACAGATCTTTTTGCTATGGGGATACCAATGTTAGAATTGAGGTAGATAGTATTTCCTCTACATTAGATTGTTTTTATAACTATATGATTTATTTTAGATCTTTGAGCGACCCTATCATGACTCTATTTTACTGCATCGTGGCTGCATGTGCAACTCCTCCAACCAATCCCACCTGCCTGTGGAATACACTTCCACGAGTCGCGATGTGGAGGTGCACTTCATTGCCCAGAACATGACCACCTTGGATGACCCGGATACGGTTAACTTCGAGGGCATGTTTGAGTTTGTCAAGGCTCCAACGAGCTGCAAGGATGGACGTCGCAAATTCGGACCCAGTGGCACCATCGATATGACCTTCGGGGATGTAAGTAGCTCAGTAAACTTTTGATCACATAAACTAAAGATAAATTATGAATTTCCAGGTGGAGTGCCGTTCCAGACCCTGGCTTATTGAGCCTTCTAATGGCAATAAATTCTTGTATGTGAGGCTAAAGGCTATATTCTTGAGCAAACACAACCCCACGAAGACTTTGAATACCACTTATGTTCAGACGGACACATGGAGATGTGAAACCAAGTCAAGGGCTGTGTTAACCACCTCAGAGGGTAAGTTACTAAACCCAAACCGTTTTAGCTATTATATTTTTTAAAAACCTTTAGGTCTAACCATTGTGGCCTGTCCACTGAGTCCCGACTCGAGTGCCTACGAATTTGTGGAGATCTTCAGTTCCGGTTGGAATGAAAGACCCAACTTTGCGCTGGTCAATCGATCCCGGGCCATCAGCGTGGAGTTCCTGCGTCCTGGCAATGGCGAGTACTCCTTCAATTGGATGGAATTGATACCCAGGCCTACACTGAGCATGGCGGGTGAGTTAATTATTTGTCTTATTAAAACTTTGAGCTATATAAATCCCCTTTTCGCAGAGGACTGTCAATTTAAGTGTGCCGAACTGGGTGCCTGTGTGAATGCCAGTGTTTGGTGCGATGGCGTGGTCCATTGTCCTTCCGGCGATGATGAGACCTTCCTGCAGTGCTCGGCCTTGATGAAACTGCCCGCCGAGATCCTGGCCACTCTCTGCCTGATATTTGTGCTCTCGTGTTGTGCTTTCGCTGCCTTTGCCTACAAGTGAGTTATCAGATAAATAAATACAATTTCCCAATGATAAATGATGTTCCCCCTTTAGGAAAATCAAACGCAAGCTGCGCGGCTCGTCGGTGCTGCAGACGCGACTCAAATCGCTCAGCTCGATGGACACGGCCGTGTTGGATGAAAAGGAGGTGATTTGCTGACAAAGCGACAATTCTGTGCGTTACGTGGAGATCGACCGTGTGACCACGGTCTGATGCTCGACGGCCAGTAACGTGCAGAATTGTGCCCCGGAACAGAAACCAGAATCGCCACCACAAGCCAACCAAATGAAACAGAAACCACAATTACAACTGACGCGAATGCGAAACGCAACAATGAAACGATCAAAAGAAAAGGCAACTCTTTTTCGCAATCAAAACCAAAAGCCAGAATCAAAATCAAAATCGTTCACCTGTTTTTTAAACTGCATTTATATGAGAGCGAATCCGATTACAGATCGCAGGATTTCGTTGATTCTATTTGTATTAACCTCTATTTTATAGATCGCAAGACTCGGCTGACTCGTGTTCTTTTTTTGAGTGTCGCGCAATTTTATAAGCAATTTTCTAGGCCTAGGGATTTTTTTCGTATGTATTTTCGATATGATTTCCCAACATGACCCTTACAAATGGAAAACACACACACACTGTACATACTAACGATTGCGTAACACAAAATGACGAGGACCAGAAATCGGACAGATCTGACCAGTTAATACTTCCACTAGGTTTTGTGTCTTCAGTTCTTGCAGAGTACTCATAGACCTATGTAGATACAACTGTTTCCTAATAGCCTTTAAGTGGATCGTACTATGCTAATCAAACCGACTAAACGAGTTCAGAGATGGGGATGGGTTAGTTTTTTTGGGGAATGTTTCAGAAACTCCCACAGCATTTATTATGCGGCGCACAAAACCAAAACAAAACAAAAACAAAAGAAACAAAACGTAATGAAACCAAATAAAATAAATAGTAAAATCCAAAGGAGCAAGCGGATTGAAGGGAGAATAATCGACAATTCCAAGAGTAGATCGTAAGTGGAACATGTTTTACATTTTAAGATTGATGGATGGCATCGTAAACGTAAATTAGTCGCCAGGGGGACGCAGCGGTTAGTCGAATATGTCAATATACATAGAAGCTAGATGAATTCGTTAGTTGTTTAATAGACGTTGTAGTGATCATGGATAATATATCAGCATAATCAAAGCTAAATCAGGCCAACAACTAGTGGCATCTCGTCGTATTCAAAGTACTCAAAACCCCAGTCGAATAGAAGTCATTCAGTCAGCTCACGCCCATTGTTGTTAATGTTGTTGTCTCAAAAGTGCACAGTTCGCTCCATGCCACATCATCTAGCGCCTGCTCCCTCACCACCAAACCAAACCAACTCAAATCAAATCAAATCAAATCCAATCAAAACCAAACCAATCTTTGCATGGTAATCCTCGTTTGTTGGCTCTGGGCTCAATGGCAGCTGACTTAATCGAATCCTTTTCTATTTTGTATTCTCTCTTTGAACAACCCTTTTGTGTCGAAGAAAAAACCCGTCGTTGAGACCAAGATCTAAGGCTCGGGGATCAAAAGCAAAGCAAAATGCCCGGCCTGGCCAAAAAGGAGGGAGCAGGGATCAGGGACTCCGAAAAAGACAACACAGCAGAGTGTGAATCAGTCGAAATGCTATTTTTGTTGATACTCTTCTTTCTTTTTAAGAACTGTAAATAAAACAAATAGAAGCTGTATAATATTAACAATTTTACATTGAGCGTTTTATTTGCCATTATGCTGTATTCCTCATTTGCACTCTCAAATAGCGAACATGTTTTGATATTCGAATCAAACTCAGACAATAAACGTTTAAATCTATTCTTTTGTAACTCGGTGGTAACTTATTTCGATTACTTAAAGCAAACAAGAGGACAGGAGGTGCATAGATTTCCTCCAGCTGATTGCATTCAAGCGTGAATAATTATATTAAATCAAACGTAAAGCTCAACTACTAAGCTAATTAAATCAAATTAAATATTAACAACCTAACAAGTTATTAGCGAAACTGCCCAAATGAAAACAATTGAATAAACTTCTGTCGTAACCTAGATTAAAAAGCGCTGATCTTGAAACCGAACTGAAACCGGATGATTATCGCCAGCAGAGTAGATTTTTAAATTTTAAATTAGTTTAAATTAAACCTAACTGATAATTAAAATGGAACACGGTAAACCAGCATGACTAAATAATTCGAGTGTTGAAAAAAAATCATATCAGATTCTAAAATGATATTAAAATTAAATTGAAAAACTGAACAACTTAATAAACAAGCATTTAAATCCCCAAAACAAACTGCATGAGAACATTATTTTATACAAAACTCTTTACAGCGCATTGGACATCCCACATTTTAACAAATTAAGTTGTAAATTAATAAATATGTAGGTACATAAATAAATAAATATACACACGTATAAATAAATAAAAATGAATATAATAAAAATGGGAGTCAAAGAATACTAAAAATCCTCGCTTACCCATTATTATAAACTTTATACTTTTTTAAAATTAATCCTTCAAATAAGTGGGGAATTGTGTGTCCTCTGAAGGTGGGGCTGGTATGGTTACCCCACCCGTATCTACAGCTGGCTCATGGGGCAACGAATCTACGCTCTCCAATGGCATAAAACAGTCTGCTGATATCTATAAAATTTCTAAGTCAAACCGATAATATTCAGAGGTAATAAGATAGCCATACCTCGCCATTCTTGTCGCCCACTTTTCGAGGATACTTAAATCCAGCGGCACGTGAGGCGTCCATTGAATCCTCACAATTGGTGATTAAGCCCTGCCGATGATCCTGCTTGTGGGCTTTTAAACGCTCTGTATTAATAGAGGTGAAGCTGCAGAGATCACAGCACAAGTCTCGATAAGCCTCGGCATGATTAAGTCGCATGTGTCGCTTTAGGGCATTTGCCTGGATGCACTGGTACTCGCATTGGCTGCACTTGAGGCTACTTCTGGAGTCCTGATTGTCGTGACGCTGGCGATGCTTGTGCAAAACACTGGGATCTCGAGTGGAAAACTTGCACTCCCCGCATTTCAGGGGTTTCTCGCCTGTGTGCTGACGCATATGGATCTGGAGAAATCAAATTAATTTATAGTTGCATTCTTGGGTTTTATTTTAAAGACTTACAATCAAACTTGCTTTGCGCGCCGTCTTTTTACCACACACATTGCAAATAAACGGCTTGATTTTGTTGTGCACTGTTTTCACGTGCTTAGACAAAGTTTTGCCATTAACAAACTTGCGATTGCAAGTCTCGCAGGTCTTTTCCGCATAGTATTTGTTCTTCTTGGTTGCAGGTGTAGGAGCAACCGGTTGGGTGACCAGATCTGCGGACTGGTCCTTCAATTTCTTTCTTCGCTGAACAGCGGCCAACGAACGGAGCACTCTAGCTCTCCACCTTTTGTGTACCCTCATGTGACGCCATACAAGAGCTGATACGGGCGATTTGTAATTGCAATCGAAGACAGGACACTCCAGCAGATCCACATCTACTTGGTGGGTTTTCCACAAATGAGCCGAGCAACGGCGCCAGTTGGGCAGTTCCAGTCCGCATTCACAGCAGGAGAAGCTGGTGCCCTTGTGGCAACTGGAGTGAAGTTCTACTTTTGCATTATCCTGGAATTTGAAAGGACAGTCCTTGCCAAAGGAGCACCTTATAAAGCAAGATATTTGTTAAAGGTTTCTTAATGATTTATTGGATATATTTACGGTTCTAGCATATTGGCTCTCAAAACCAATCGAAAATCCTTAAACGGCATGGGCTGCAGTTCATTTGGCGTTGATTTTGGGTCATCCAGTTGCTTTTCACTAGTTTGCTTATCCTGGTGAAGCCTGCCGGTTATAGTTTGTTGTTTTGTTGAAGTCTTAGCTTTTTTTGACTTGCCGGCAGGCGTTGAAATGGGTTCGTAGCCATGAAAATACACCATGTGTCCTCGAAGATCCTCCTGGAGATCATATTGACGCAGGCACAGACTGCACACATAAACTATACGTGGTGTTTTATCCATTTTGCATTGATTTAAGGACGTTTGTAAAAACAGCAACAGTTTATTTTGCGCTAGTGGTGAAAATCAGTCAAGATTTATCGACCTGTGTTCGATGAACACAAAATATCGAACTGACTATCGAAATTTGAATATGTGATAAGGAATGGCCCAACTTTGTTTTGTTTTTTAAATAATTTATTGTGCAGAATAAAACTATATATTTATATTCTTCGCTACTGGCTTATCACCAGTACGATCGAAAAACCAAAGATAAATGAATCCTCTACAAAAATTTGCAGAGGCTCTATGCTCCCGTGTGGAGTTAAAGAATGAAATTTTTTTTTATATTCTAATAATACTAAGATTACAATTAAATTAGTATTTTTTTAATTTTTGTGTATCATATCAAGTGTTTTTATTTTTTTATATTTCACTTTGCCTTTATACATTCTTGCTATGAGAAGCTAACAACTGAGTATATGACTTAGCAGAGTTTCACTCCCGCACAACCAGAGTTGCCGTATGTCTAAATCCGCTAGAAACGGTGTCAGCAGTGAAATAATCGAAGTCTGGAACATCGATATCATCCCACTAAGACCGATTTTTGTTTTGTTTCAATAGGAACTATCGTGTGGGTTTTCGCAAATTAAAAAGGCCAAAAAAGCAGTCTCGGAGTTTCCTAAAAATGGGCAGCGCGCTGGAAAACTATGTGAATCAGGTGCGCACGCTGAGCGCATCCGGTAAGTTGGCCCACCGGCGATCCACGAGCGACGGCAGAAATCTCCGTACTCGGCGCCGCCTTTGTTTTGTTATTATTGCAAATTCCAACCCATTTCTTTGGCCGGCTTTTAATTTAGGAAGCTTTCGGGAGCTAGCCGAAGAGCTGCCGGAGTCGCTATCCCTGCTGGCGAGAAACTGGAGCATCCTGGACAACGTGCTGGAGACCCTCGACATGCAGCAGCACTCGCTGGGCGTGCTCTACGTTCTCCTGGCAAAGTTGCACAGTGCCTCCACCGCGAATCCGGATCCGGTGCAGCTCATTCAGCTGATGCGGGACTTTGTGCAGCGCAACACTACAGAACAACTGCGATTTGCCGTGTGCGCTTGTGGGTTAAATTCCCCTTTAACCACAAACAACCCATATTTATACTCTACTTTTTAGTCTATGAGACATGCCATCTGTTCACCGAGTTTGTGGTCCAGAAAAACCTCAGCATCCTGGGCATACGCATCTTGTCGCGCGCCATCGACCAGATCCGTCAACTGGACACCCAGCTAACGCCCATCCATGCCGATCTCTGCCTGCTCAGCCTGAAGGCGAAAAACTTCAGTGTGGTGCTGCCCTATTTGGACGCGGACATCACAGACATCTCCACCGTGGCCGCCGAGTGCAAGACGCAACAGCAACAACAGTCCCAGCACACGGTTGATAGAACCAAAAATAGTTTCAAAACTTGTGAAACTCATAGTTATGTTCTTCTTTTCAGGATGCCAACAACGATGCCAAGTACTTTTTGCTGTACTACTACTATGGCGGCATGATCTACACGGCGATAAAGAATTACGAGCGTGCTCTGTACTTCTTCGAGGTCTGCATCACCACTCCAGCCATGGCCATGTCGCACATTATGCTGGAGGCCTACAAAAAGTTTCTCATGGTTTCACTCATCGTCGAGGGCAAGGTGAGTTTAACAATAGATTAGATCCTTCTGTAAATCATCTTAATCATGTTATCTGTCGCCTTCAGATAGCGTATATACCAAAAAACACACAGGTCATTGGCCGTTTTATGAAGCCGATGGCCAATCACTACCACGACCTGGCCAATGTGTACGCGAATTCGTCCAGCGAAGAGCTGCGCATCATTATCCTCAAGTACAGTGAAGCATTTACGCGTGATAACAACATGGGATTGGCCAAGCAGGAAAGTATTCGAATAATAATTGAGTTTTATTTTTCAACTCGTGGTGGTTCAATATTCTAATTTTTAAATCGTCTGTTTACATTTATTAAAAAGTTATTTACAAGTCATATTCTTGATGATCAAACAATACAAACGCATATACAAAAAAGTAAAATATAATTAAAACGTATAGAGACATCTCCAAGGCGCAGACACGCCATAAACCCTGAATTTAATACTTTTTGTCGCTTAAAATAAAGAAAATATGTAAATTTATGCGGAAGTTCAGTCAAAGTCAATATTCCTACATACATTAAACAATTTTCGTTTGCACAGAATATACGTCGAAATGTTGCTCACAAAGACAACAACAAATAGTTTATTAATTGCATTATTTTTTTGTTTTTAGGTGGCAACCTCCTTGTACAAGCGAAACATCCAGCGCCTAACGAAAACCTTTTTGACCCTCTCCCTAAGCGATGTAGCCAGTCGTGTTCAACTTTCCAGCGCAGTCGAAGCAGAGCGTTACATACTCAACATGGTGAGTAATTACATCTTATGATATATACTTAAATTACAAATATTTCATATATAATTACAGATCAAATCGGGTGAAATTTATGCCAGCATCAATCAAAAGGACGGCATGGTGTTGTTTAAAGACGATCCAGAGAAATACAATTCACCGGATATGTTCCTCAACGTGCAAACGAACATTACTCAGGTTCTGGATCAAGTTAGGCAAATCAACAAAATGGAGGAGGAGATCATTTTGAATCCCTTGGTATGTTTTTGGGACTGATACAGTTGTAAATTAATATTTATTTGTGATAATCCCTGTATGTAGTATGTGAAAAAGGCCCTTGGCAGCCAGGATGATGACCTTACGTCGCAGCATCCAAAGAACTTCTCGGGGTGAGTACTTAATTAATAAAAAATGAGTTGTTTATAATAACTTTCTTTTTTACAGAGATCCCACAGATTGATGATGCCACCGCCGCAGATCCACCAGCAGCCTGCTGCTATCATTTCTACGCTCATCCAATCCCCAACACCGTTTCCCACAACTTGTCGCAGCTGCGAGGTCTTGGGCTCGAAAGCCCATGAGTTCCTGCACTCCGAACTCATCCAGCTACACCAACAAGAAACTGCGCTCTAATTGCAAATTTATAGATGAACATGCTATTTTAAAATAAACTATGTATAAATCTATGACTAAGTCAGGGATTCCTTATCACGTTTTTTGATTGACTCACAAATTTTACGTCTCGATACTGCACCGATAAGGTTGTTGTGCCTTTTCTACGCAACGATCAGGCGACGTTTACTGTCCCGACCGGTTAAGTGCTTTGTACTTGCCCCCAATCTAACTTAATTGCTGTTCAGTTATCGTTCAGGTTTCTTTATTTACAATATCAATGTACATGTAACCTAACCTTAGGGCGAAAAAACGAACGATTAATTGACTAGAGGACCAGCGTTAATTATATATTATAGTTAATTTCTACTCGTAAGCCTAGTTTCGTGAATTAACGTCTAATTGCTTTAATGATAATGTATAACAATACGGGCGTCTAGATTTTGTGGTTGGTGCGAGTGGGTGGCTTGGCAGCTGCCGCCTGGTGGCTCGTGCTCCGATCGCCCGAATTAAAACCGGAGCTCCGACGTCGGACTGAGATTCTCTCATCGGCAATCCACCGAGCTCTGCCGCTGCCGCTACTGCTGCTGCACCCATCCTAACCGGTTTTCATGGCGTCTAGCTCCATGATAGAGGTCTTCAGCGGCTGTGCGGTGGAGATCGGAACCGTTGATAGCTCGCTGTTGAGACTGCGATACAGCTTGTGGACCACATTGACCAGTATGAAGCACAGAATCAGCACCAGCAGCGACATAAAGACGTAGGCCAAGACCAGTGGTGTGTCCGAAATGGGATCCAACATGACGATCGGTTTTTGCAAGCACTTGTATATGCGAAGTATATGTTTCAAAATTTGTTTTGTGACTTTGTACTCGCTTCCCCAAAAGAATTGTGGATGAGTTTATTCCAGACAGCTCAGGTTCAGGTAAAGAGACGGGGGGCGCAGCGCGTATGCTAATTAGCCAATCGAGCGAGCATATATAGCATTCGTATATGATATTCTGGAACGGAATTGTGACCGCGTCGGCTTTTCGTGTGTATGTCGCTTGACACCTGCCCGAGAACTGAAACGAGCGCGTTAAATGAATGGAACTTTGCTTGGCATTACGTATACGCTTCGTTGCCAGACTGTTGCCGTTCGTCGATGTTGTTTTTTCTCGTGCGTCCAGTTTTTCCGTTTTCGTTTCTCTGATAAGCTTCTTGTGCAATAGAATCTGTAACGGGGGCCGAGATTAGAAAAGTTTTTCCAGTTTGGAGTTCCTCTCGTTTGGAAGCCGCTCTCCACATCTGGCAACTTTTCGGGATCCAGCCTTATTTATAGCTTATTGAGGCATGACAGTCGCATTCGTATTCGCCTTGCAATCAAATCAACAACGCTGCCTTCTTAATTGGCCGCGTCAATAAAGAATGGAATGGCGTCAAGCAAATTGCTTGGGGTCTCTCGTGGCGGCGATTTCTGGTTGGGGGGCTAGTGATTTCGGCAATTAGGCATGATAGCCGGGCCAATGGCTCGGTCTGGAGAGGTTTTTATCTATTGATAACAAACACCACAGTCAGAATGATAAGCCCCAAAAAACCACGGGCACTACAAATTAAGATTGCGGCACACGGGCGTAGCCTAACATTTTTATCTTTTTAGAAATATAAAGAATTTACTTTACTAATGCAAAAACCTTTATTATTAAAGCTAAATTTTAATAAGAAATTTCTTACTTGAGTTTTTTGTCTTCTCCAATAAAAAACACAAAAAAACGTGACTTGTTCCGATAAAGGGAAAGGGAAACAAATCAGTAATCTGTAGCAGATTAGTGTGGATTGTTGATTTGCTTCGGCTTTTGGTTCTTCAAAAGAATGTTGTTAAGAATGTCGATTTAAAAGAAGTTTTTTAGTGCGCAATACCTTAACTAGGCAGAACGAATTTAAAATATTCACACTATAAAGTTGAAAATAACAATACACCAACTAAAAATCCAAAAGGTTTATTTTTAAGAAAAACAAGTTTAGGAAAGAGTGGTGCCATCGATTATCTCCTTGTTGTGAGGATATAAAAGGAACAGTTGGTGACGAATATATCTCGAAAGCCATGGGGAAACCATTCCCAACTTTTTTAAACTTAAATAACCATAATAAGAGAGGGGGGGCCCCTCTATAAACAACTCCACACGCCACTGCTCCGCTGACTTTCACCTTCGCTGTCACGCGATTTCCATAAACTGTCGTGAGCTCAGTGCCCGACCCACTGACCCATCCGTCGTCCCTGGGAACCCCCACCTCATTGATCTTTGTATACAATTTAATAAAACGAGTTATACCGCATTACAGCAGCCGGTAATGAATGGCCTTTAACCTCCCATTTGAATGCCCCACCCTTTTTAACCCGGCTATCGGGAGTTTCGCCGCAAGCTAACAGGTCGACAGGCGGCGGCATTATCCGTGCACCGTGCATCCTGCGCTTCCCTGGTCTCCAGGATCACATCGCTCAGCGTCAACTGCGTCCTGCTATCCGCTTTTGCTTCCGGCCTTCTTTGATTGCACTTCATCATGACTCTCAGCCGGGGGATCTTGGAGAGGTGATCGAAATACCGAACGATGTGCAGGGAGCCCGAGGGCCGCGGTTCTGCGGCAGCACACACGGGGTCATCGGGGCAGTTGCACATGAAACTGATGGTCCTCCGGCTGGGACTCGCATCGAACTCCGCACTGACCAGGTAGCAGGGCTCCAGGGCGAGCACAATCCTTAGAACTACAGGGAAATTACCCAGAAGGGAAGGGCTGGCCGAGCATGAGCTTACCCGAGGAGGAATCCAGGATCTGCGACCGATTCTGAATGTAAACGGAGCGCAGGCTCGGCTGATTGGAGCGCGGATTCCGCAGCGAGTTGTCCAGGTACTCCCGCATGGTCATCGCATGGTTGGAGTGACGCAATCCCAGGAGCTGTTGGTGGGAACTTCCGGGATAGGAGGCCAGCGGCAGGTTGTCGTACACGGAGACGTAGATCTTGTGGCTTATGTAAATCACGACGAAGCACAGGATCACAATGAGCAGCCCGATGAGCAGGTAGGTGAACAGTGTGGGTATAAAGAAGATCGCGTCTAGAAACATGGGGCCGCTGCTCCGAAAGTGCTAGCTCACTGACAGGATACGCAAATCTACAGAGAAGGTCTCGAGAATCCATGGGAGGAGCTTCGATTCGCTTGGTTTTTGCAACATCTATGTAAATGTATTTATTTCTTAGTTTCTTTTTTGTATTTTTTTGTTCATTTTTTGTCGTTTGTTTTGTTGTCAGTTTTTTTTTTATAGGTTTCTGCCTTGGCTTTTACATACGATTTTACATTGATAATATTATGCTTGTAATTTAATTGTATTCCACTCGATCCCCATATCTCACTGTCTGCATTTCGGTTTAAGCTTTAAAGTTAATTTTTGCATGCCCACCTCGATTCTTTGTAATGCCATTTTCTGTTTTCTACCCGCCGGCGGGTTTCCATCGCATACCACTGCTCAAAAAATTTCCTAGGGTCAACCTTTTGCATTTTGCTCATTTACTCATTAACAGTGGGTCATAGTTCAAAAATCAAAGCAGACTTATTCGCTACATCGCTCTGCATATTCTGTAAAATTGTCAAAATTTTAGCTTTTAAGTGCATTTCAAAATCGCATATTTTTGAGTTTTTCCTCTCCTCTTCAAGTAAATTTCGCGATTTTAATTTTCTCGTGAGCGTGTGTGAGTGGGTGGATGAGTGTATATGTGTGTGTGTGATGTAGCAACAGCTAATGAAAATGCGCCATGATCTATCGAGCAGATATGAGCTTTACAAATATATACATACACACAAATTGGTTTGTTGGCTGCTTTTTTTTGAGTGTTGTAAATGCAACTTCTCGTTTGGGTAATATTCATTAGTTCACACAGATACACACGCCCACACTCACCCATCACACACGCACACACCCAGACTCTGCGTTTAGTAAAGATTTTAAACTCTTCTAAGGTTTTCTTCACGTTAGCTGGCAGTTTGTGGAAATGCCTAGTACATCAACAACAAATCATAATTTTAGAGGTATTCCATGAATTAATTAATAAAATATTCCCTTAAACCAAACAAAGGATAATTTTACAATATTAGCTCTAAATTGTTAAGTTAAAAAAGAATGCTGTTATTAATATTTGTTGAAAAAAAAAACAAAGTAAAGTTAACAAACAGGAATACCTCTTGTAAAACAGATTAAACTAGGCATTTGCTGTGCTCGAGCTTAAATTAGTCATTAACAAAACAATAAAACTAGGTTAAGATTACGAAACACCGTTCGATGAAGAAACAAGAAACATGTGAAAAAATTATGAATTTTCATTGATTTTAATATTTAATTAAATAGTTTCTGACTTGTTGACTTCATGTGCTACGCGTTTAAAAATAATTTACTAAAATTATAATTAAAATGGGTAATTGATTGATTGCTGACGTTGAGTTTTTGTTCTAGACAAAAAAAATAACGAATCATACAAGCGAAATACAATTTTTTCGTTCCTTTCTTATATTTTCCATGACTTCATGCCCCGTATGAGAGTGTGTGAGTTCGTGTGTTTGTGTTTTGTGCCTGTGTGTGTTGCCATTTTTTGTATGATTTTATTTATTACACATATATTCATCGTGTTTATTTCTTTGTTAAAAAACATTCAGATGTCAGTTGGATATTTTAATGAAACGTTTTTTGTTTTTGGGAAGGCAGCATGTTCCATAAGTTATACAAAAAGATTTGGAGAACTCGGAAGAAGTTAAGAGAAGTATATAGACGAAGCCTGGGCAAAAAACTATCTCCGATGTCGGGGGTTGCGGGGTGGGGAACATGCCGCCGCAACCTTTTCACAGAGACACACACGTACACAATTATGTAACTTCAGCACAACATACAGAATCAGATAATTAACATTTTTTAGCCCTCAGCCCCCACGCACGCATTCTATTCTGTATCTCTGACTGAACAGAATCGAGAATCCGATGGCTTTGTGGCAATTAACTTTACACACTTATATAGTTTACGATTTCATTTTTATGCTGCTGAGCGTTTGTTTGTTTTTCTATCCACTTATTTCCCATCCGTCTTCATGTTGTTTTTCGACGACGTTCGCTGCGTTGTTGCTTTGTTTGTTTCTCGGTTGTTGTTTCTTGCTGCTGCTGCTCTTTGTTGTTGCTTGGTTGTAGTGTTTGTTGTTGTTGTCGTTGTTGCTGACTTAGACGGACAACGAAACGAAACTGTTATACTGCGTGATGTTGCGCTTGAGGATGTCGGCGCAGGGTCCCAAAACGCGTTCGAATCTGGATTGAAGTAGGAATGTTATTATTAGTTTATTTGGCCATCATCTTCAGCAAATAGCTAATAAATATAGAGCATTCAATTTTCCATAAGTTAAATTGTTACTAGATTAGGAACTGATCCTGATTTCCCGATCTTACCTCGCCCTGTCCAGTTTGACGCACTTGAGCGGCCCGCGGGCCACGACGGTCGCCGCTCGTGGTCGATCCAAAAGCAGAGCAATCTCGCCAAAGTAATCGCTGCTACCCAGACGCCCCACCTCGGCGGGCTCCTCGCCCTGCTGATTAGATAGAACATTGGATTAGTAGGGGTCTCTCCACCAGATGACAGCTCCAATTTCGGTCACTCACCTCGGAACGCTGCTGCAGCACCACCGCACAGCCCTCCAGGATGATGTAGAAATCGTCGCCGGCTGCTCCCTGCTTCACAATCGTCTCGCCATCGTCGAAGGAGCAGGTCTCCAGGGAATCGGCCACCGTGAGGCGTTCCCATTTGTCCAGGCTCTCCAGGATGGAGACGCGCGACAAGAACTCCTCGTACATTTTGCGCTTACGGATGGTCGAGCCCATCAGGATGCGGCGGTAGGAGTCGCGGTCAATGCCCCACAGCTTCACATCGGTTTTGGCCCGCACGGTGGCGGCGCGGGGAGTGCCATAGATCAGGGCCAATTCACCGAAGCTGCCGCCCTCGCTGATGGTGGTCACCAGTTCGGAGTTGACAAAGACCTGACAAAGAAATACAAATAGTTATTTCAAGGTTCAAGTCAAACAATAACCAATATGAAGGAACCCTTTAGTGCATGAATCTGATTTATATACTCACATCGACCTCGCCCACATCGATCACGTAGAAGTTGTCTCCCTCATCGCCCTGCTGGATGATATTCTCGCCGGCAATGTGATTCACTGGGAACATGGCATCGAATATGTCGGATCGCTCGCTCTCATCCAAATGGGCGAATAGCACGTTCTTGGCAATCGCCTTGGAGAGAGCGTTCATCGTCTTGTAGTCCTTGGGCACCACCTTCTTCACATAGTTGGCGGCGTCCTCCTCGGTGACGGGTTCGGCGGAGATTCCACCGCGCCGGCGCACCGGCGGAGCAGCTGTCTGTGGCATCGGGCTGAGATCTTCGCAGTCGTCGGGGCTGATCACCTGTCTACTGGCATCCAGTTTGACTTGTTCCTGCCGAAGATAAAAATAACAATGCGATGAGTATTTTTGGTTTGGTTTATGGCACACACATCGCGGTTCATTATCTTGTTGGTTTATCATCTTATCAAAGCCTGAACAAAGATCAACAAAGCGGTAAAGCAATGATTTTGCATAGTTTGTAGACCAGTTTAAAGTTCGATATTTGCCTTTTAATTAAGCTAAACAGTACTATTTAATATCTGCAAACCATTCATAATCTTATAGTTATTTCACTCTCTTTTGTTTTTAAAACTACCATTAAAATACATTACAGCATACAAATACCCATAAAATAATATTAACACCTCTCACTTGATTTGAATTCGGGGGCAGAGGCATTATTAACTGCTGCAGGATCAAACTTCCAATGTGCGTTGGCGACTAACAGCCAGATTAATGTGCGTCACTCTCAGTGGAAATATGCGAACTGCAACCAGTGGTTGTTTTCCTGCAGCATTGTGCAAATGTCCGGAGATGCGACGCACCCGGGAAAGCTCTTCCCGCCCACATCCGCAAATCATAAGCTCCATTACGCGTCGGCAATGAAAACGGCCAGCCAACGGGGAGCTAAAGAGCTTTACATCCTGACTTTTGCTGCGCATTCCGGTGCCTCGAGTCCCCATGCAAATTGCTCACTCCCACACACTTGAAGCCCATCCTAAGCACTGCACCAGCCAGCTGTCCAATTGCAGTCCGTTTCCCACTGTGACGTCAAGCCAGTCGAGCAGAAATGGCCAGCTGGCCCAAGACGCTGATTAAGTTGCATTAAATTGTCACTCAACGGAACTACAAGTGGCAGCCACTGGCATTTATGGCTGCAATTGCAGTGCGTTTGGGATCAGTGTCCTATAAATAGGCTCCACCTCAAGAAATTTCGAAAAACAAACTGCATTTTGGGTAGCCAAAGCATACGTTATCTGGATTAAATGTGGCATTAATTATTTTAACTAATGGATGTGCGATGTGCGGATTGTTGAATCAGAATTAAAGCCTAAAATCCACATGAATTCAGAAGCAATGTTTATTGATTAAAAACAATAGGGAAACCAGGAAAATAATCAATCTCACGAATTATTATACTTTCAGCAATGTTTAATCACCTCAACCATCAGCAGAAATTACTTTTCGCCTAAAAATATTTCAATCACAAAAGCAATATGTGTTCAAAGCCATAACGAAGTATTTGCATTTAATATAAAAATAATTGCACTTGATATGATTCTCCCACCCGACCGAAGCCTCTTGAACAAAATTATCGTACGCTATCCATAAACATCGACATGCCCGGCGAAGAACTTCAAATGAAAGACGGTGCTCATTAATTTTTATTGTCTAAACAATCGTGTATTATGGCAAACCAAAAATCGCTTGAAGTGCCCAGAAATATTGTAAACAATGCGGCTGGCAGGAAAAGAACAAGCAAAAACACAAAACCGCAATTAATAGGTGAGCTAAGCAATTTGCCAGCCGATCATGATTCGTAGCTGACGATAGCAAACTACTCAATGAATTCCCCCAACCGAATGTCGCCGCAATTGATTGACGAAGCTCTTGGGTGGCTGCCAGTCAGCTGAAGGAAATTGCTCCACGCTGGAAGTCAGGTGTCAAAACAGATGATAATCAAGTGCTGCCGCCCAAAAACATCAACGTTTGGCATACAAATGCCTGTTAATTAATCTGAGTAAAGTCAAGCTTATTCTCTAAAAAATGTTTAAAATGTTTCTTAAATGTGAGAATATTCTGTAATATTTTACTGAAGAAAAGTGGTAATAAATAGGATAAGTCATTTTCTGTATATTTTGGAAAAACTTTATCTATTTTGTGTACATAACGCTTTGCAAAGACAACTAAAATCAAGTCCATTAACTGCAAAGTTTGATGAATAATTCGTAATACCCAAAGTTTTGAGCTGCCAAGTATGCAAATTGCATACTCTAGTTTATCATGCAGTCAGCTTACTGGGTGGCAGTATCACAACAGACCCCTCCTGTTTTTGCATTTGCAAAACTGCAACTTAGTTTATGGCCATTTGGCCAGGGACAGGGCCCAGAAGCCAGAGCCGAGTACCCAGAATCGAGCAACCAGAACCGAGAACCGAGAACGGAGAACGGAGGAGAACCCGGCGCGTGTGCCAGCGATGTGGCCGTGACCTTTGTGCAGACGCGGAGTCGGCGCCCAGTCGACTTATAGCCCTGGCCCTGGCCATGGACATGGCCATGAGGCCACCATAAACTCTGAGCAACCCACCAATCCGCCAACCCTGCAACGCCACCCAGCCACCCTTTGACCCACCCGATACGATACTCCTCGCGATTTTCCCGGGCTTTCAGCTTTTGGCGACGTTCCCTGTGACATATTAAACGGAAATCGATTTCGCATTGTAAATTGAATCCAATCCCCTCCCGGATGGGCTGACTTTGCGGTCTCGCCCCGCCTGATTGGATGGATGGGCCCGTGCGATTTCCACGTAGGCCCTGACTTTAAAATGGAGTCTTGTCACCGTTCCCGCCTTATCAACGAGCCCGCTAATAAAACAACGCACAACATTTATGGGAATCATGACAAATGCAGGTTTTGATTAGATGACGACAATCGGTGGGACGAGGTGCGGCCAGGTGTGAAGGGTGGGGCAAGATGCGGTGAAGGTTGGGTAATGAGGACTAATTACCTGACATTTTCATCTATTACGAAATCAATTATGTTTAATAATCTTGTATGGCTGCCAACACGGCTATCGACAAGCAGGGATTCAAGGTTTGTTTATTTTAATAGAATAAATTCCAAGAAAAGCAATTCCAAATTGGACACATTACTGCTTGTAATATGTTTATTTTACTGTTCCTTGATCAAATATCTTTACTACTACAATAAAATCCCAAATTACGTTAAAAATACTCGAAATACTGGGAACCTCTTTAAGCAACATTTTATATATTGACCAATCGTAATAGTAAAATACTTGTAGAATATTATACTTCCGTTTGTTTAATATTTCTTGCACTCAAATCGTTTCCATAAAAGGCGAATAAGTCTCATAGAAAGTCGGTAAAAATTCTTTATGCCCTTACAAGCTCTTAGCTGGATGGGGAAACAGAAAGCGAATTACAAAAGCGACAATGAAACACAGATGAGGCAACAAATAGGGCTCCATGCTGTGAGGTAGGACCCAGAACATATAGTCGCCGCGTAAACCATGTAGAATAATGGTCGCCGCTTGCAATTGTAAACGCGGCGGCATTGTTGCATCCAATGAACATGAATAAAACCCAGCAAAGGCGTCGACTTCTGTGGGGGACAGTCCGCGGAAAAAAATAAAAAGCAAAAGCAAGTGCACACAATTGTGCAACCAAATGCTAAATATTTACCTCTATGAGGGTGTGTGTTTTTTTTAATATTTTTTGTTGTTATTTTCAGCTTGTTTAGGTGAATGAGCGCTTATTGAATAGCCGTACAAACTAGACTTATGGTCTACAAACTATGACAGCCACTAACAGACTCATTTATTTATGGCAAACCTTAGACATGTTTCTTTGCTTGTGTACTCCTGTGTTGGTGTTGGTGTTGGTATTGGTGTTGTGTGCGTGTGTGTATCTGTGTGTGTTTTTGTTCTTTAGTTATCCGTGTGTTGGGGCTTGTGCTACTTATGTGCAACAAATTGTGAAAACGCTTCGCTTCTAATATGGACACAGAAAAAACAAACAACAAACAGTAGTAGCAGATGAAAAACTCGCGACGTGGGACTTTGTAGAAGATCACGAAGATTTTCACTCTCGGATTTGTAATAATGCTGTTCTGCTCGCAAGTAGGAAAACAGCAAAAACAAAGAGCGGACAGAATTATAAAAATATTACGTATACGCGGCGTGGACAGGCGAGCAAAAACAGCCGCCAGCAGCAATGACAAACCCAATGTCAAAGTTTTATAAAAATAAATATTCAAAATTGCTGCGAACAGTTCAGAAAAAATGTTTTTTAAATTGGAAATACTTTTGGGTCGCCAAAAAACAGATTTCAAGAAAGTAAGCCACTTAAAAATGTGGAAATGGAAATACTAAGAAAGGTAAATTTTGGTGCACTAATGAATTATGTTATAACTGCACTCCGTGAAAATTTTCTTTAAATAAAACTGCTTTACAAATTAGCTTTAAAATCGAGATTATTGACAAATATTCATGTACAATTGAGTTTAAGGAACAAAGTACAACGGCTAGAATCATTTTATGTTGGACACCACTGCGTATAATTAATATTTTCTTTATGGGGCTATTTAAAGAAATCGCAGCAAATTTAATTGGCATAAATGGGCGGCCACGGCTATAAAATATGAAATTATATAAAAAAGAAATCCTAAAAATATATTTATAAGATCGTGCGTCACTGGACCCCCGCATTATACACATAAATATTTGATTTAATTTTGCCGCTAGTGTCCAATTTAATTTCTTCGCTTGGCTCCTTCTTGCTGTGCTGGCTGTTTTTTCCGCCGCTGTTTTCCTGCTATAATTGCTTAATTAATCCAATTGCGAAGGAACACACTGTGTTCTTGTTCTTCTAGTTCAGATGGTTTTTGTTTTTGTGTGTTGTCTACCCGCTGTTTCCGTTTTAATTATTTAGTTGTTCTGCCTGTGTTATCGTTGTTGTAGCAGTCGCGACTTTCGGCTCGGCAAATGTCTTTTTTTCGCGTATTTACAAAACGGAGGCGCGACACAAACTGAAAACTCAATTCGAAATTCGCGTTCAACTTGCGGCAATCGACGCCGCAGTCGCAGTCGACGCTGGCGTTGCGCTGACGCCGGCAGAGGCAGCGGCTTCATCTTTCCACACTAGTTGCCATCGCATGTGTGTGGGTGAGTATCTGTGTGGGGGTGACGGGGTGGTGATACCGTTATGTGGTCTAGGGCGGATAAACTGCCGACCATTTTGCGGTTTGTGGTAGGTTTTAAGCGGCTAAAAGACCCAAGAAGTGGTGGCCAGTAGCCTTCATGTCGAGTT